AGATACACACACACCATAGGAAGGGACATAATTTAATAGTGCATATTTGATCAACTAATGACATGTTATTACTGATATGAACCTACTTCATGGGATCTCCAATAACATAGGTTGGATTACCATTATTGTTGATATAACTCAAATTGGTGATAGTCATATTCCCCTCGATGTTGCATATATTAGTTTTCTTCCCAAATGTTTAGTCCGAGGATCAGCCAAATTCACTTCTGACTTCACATAATCTATGGAAAAAATTCCATTTTTAGCAGCTTCTTTATCACAGTATGTCTCAATCGAATGTGTCGACTCTTTCAATTGAAGGATTTATTTTTAGCAATGGCTATTGCAGCTTGGCAATCACAATGCATAGACACAAAAGGTGTCGATTTTATTCCTAGCCAAAAGGTTCTTTAACCACTTGGCCTCATTACCAGCCAATCCAATGCCACAAACTTAGACTCCATGGTAGATCTAACTATTATTGTTTGTTTAACTGATTTCCATGCCACGGCACCTCCACCAAGGGTCAATACATATCCACTAGTGGATTTTGTCTCATTTGAATCAGAGATCCAGTTAGTATCACTATATCCTTCTAATACAGTGGGAAAGCCACTATGTTTAATACCATAGTTTACGATACTTCTTAAATATTTCATTACTCTTACTAATGCATTCCAATGGTCATGATTCGGGGTTTGAGTATATCTACTCAATCTACACACATCATATGCAATATCAAATCTAGTAAAATTTATCAAACGCATTAGACCAGAGGCGGACCTACGTTAAGAGTAGGGGGGTCACCGGAACATGTTGGCCTTGGCGAAGTCACTATATATATCTTTTGTATATATAGGTATATATATGGAGGACCCCTTAAATATTGGGAGAAATTCAAAAATAGCCATAGTTTCAAAAGTAATCGAATTTTAACCATTTTTCATGTAAAGATAAATTTGAACGAAAACACTGTTCAAAATCAGCAAAAATACTTCCGTATAATATACTGAAGTTCCAGGATAGTATATCGGTCCAGCATAATATACTGGAGATTGGAGCACCGGTGCTCCAGCTCAAGTATATTATACTGGAACTTTCCGCATATTGAAGTTCTAGCATAATATGCTGGAAGTTCATACACAAGTGCACCAATCTCCAGTATATTATGGTGGAACTTTTGCAGCAATATAGTGGCTATTTTTCAATGACTTTGCAATCACTAGCTATTTTTGAATGACCAGTCCGAAAACTGGCTAGCCCGTGATATTTTTGCTTAAATATTTTAGTGGTACCCCCAAAATCACAAAAGGCCACATGGGAAAGTCAGTTGAGTGTACTGCTGAAACCTCCTACTCGCACTTGTTGTCTTGGGATCGAATCCCAACTCTTGCTTTTTAGGTTTACCTTTTACTTTACTAATTTCAATGATTGTTATACTTAATAGTCAACTGATTTTTTTCTTTTATATTTTTTAAATTCAATCATTTAATACTTGATCATAAAATCAACTTAATTAATTTTATCCTGTTTCAAGTCCCTCCCTCAAAATCAAGCTCCAAACCAAGAAAATTACAAACCCTTCCCCATCACTTTGACAAAGTAGCAGCATCTAGCAATTCCGGCGCTAGCGACTAAGAATTTACATTTTGTTGATAAGTTATCATAATCGCTAAGTTTTACGAGTAAAATCCAAGTTTTATTTTGTAAAATTAAATTTAATTTTATATCAATCGTTTCTTTTCAAATGAGGCATCAGACGAAAAAATTCTATATCAATAGCTTCATTGCTAAAAGATTTTTCTTTCCTTGGTCTTTTGCTTCTTCTTAATTTCTCACTTTTAAAATTATTTTGAATAATAGGAACATGAGAAATATTATTACTTTGCGTAATAGGAACATGAAAAATATTCTCAAGTTTAAAGGAAATATACTTTCAAAAAGTTCAGCATTTTTTGTTTCAACAATAATGTTGTGTTCAAGCACATCACTTTTAACTACTAAAAATCTATATGTTTCACTACTTTCAACATACCCAATAAACATACAATCAGATGTTTTAGATTCTATCTTCCTTTTCTTATTATCAGGTAACAACACTTAAACAAGGCACCCCCACACTTTTAAATATTTCAAGTTAGGAGGATAGCCTTTACAACTTATAAGAAGTTTTACCCATTTTCTTATCGGGAATGCTATTTTGTAAATGACAAGCAGATAAAATGGCTTCACCCCAAAGATTATCGGGGACACCAAAACTAGCAAGCATGCTATTTACCATTTCTTTTAGGGTTTTATTTTTCCTTTTCGCTACACCATTTGATTTTGATGAATATGGAGGTGTTATCTCATGAATTATGCCTTCTTTTGTCACAACAAATCATTCAACAAAATAAATTCACTACCTCTATTGGATCTAACTCTTTTAATTTTCATATTTAATTGATTCCCTACTTCTGATTTGTAGATTAAAAACTTATCAATGGCTTCATCTGTATTTCTTAACAAATAAACTTTTGTATATCTAGAAAATCGTATATAAATGTCACATAATATTTTTTTCCCTCCCTAGCCATAGTTTGTTTCAAGTCTCCAAAGTCAGTATGAATTAAACTTAACAATTCAGATTCTCTATGTACAGAAGCACATGATTTCTTAGTTTGTTTAGCTTCTACACAAACTTCACACTTATCGATATTTGAAATAAGACCTTCAGAATGCATCTTCTTAATATAAGATAAACTAACATGTCCTAATCTAGCATGACATAAATTAAAAGAGTCAATCAAGTAAGCAGAAGAACTAGCATTTTCATTCATAATATTGAATACAAATAAGCCATGGTTACAATAACCCTTGCCAACAAAATTATTATTTTTGGTTAACACGACCTTATCAGATTCAAAAGAAATATTCACTCCCACTTTTCCTAATAATCACATAGAGACCAAATTGGCTCGGATACTAGGAACGAGTAACATATCATTCAATGTCAGAGTTTTGCCAGATGTGAGTTTGAGAAGAACTTTGCCTTTTCCAAGAACTTGAGCAGTTCTTGAGTGATCGAGATGGATAACTTCTTCTCCTTCCTCAACTTGGGTGTAAGAGACAGAGCCTTTTCTGTTAGCACAACATGTGCCTAGTGTCACAAGAATCTAACACCCAATCTTTCACACTAGCCACAAGGTTCACTTCGGAAACAACTGATCCACTTTGGCTTCAGTCAAATTTACTTTAGCCTTGGCGGGATTGTCATTCCCAGCCCTTTTCTGGCAATGAGTAGCATGATGGCCAGGTTTGCCACACACAAAGCAGTTACTTTTCTTTTTGAAGGTCTGATTGTTGGTTTTGGGCTTATAACCATTTCTTTTGTCATACCTGTTGTTTGATTTGCTCTGAAGTTTGTTGTCCTCCACAAGGTTAGCTCTAGTAGCAATCTCCTAAACTTTGTCAGCACCAACTTGCTTGCAGTTAAAATTATCTCCACCAAAAACCTCAATAACATGAGAAAAAGGTTTGGCATAGGTACTTGGTGATGGAATAGCACTAGAAACAGTAGGTGTAGCGGGTGTAGTAACATCAACAACATTAGCAGTGTTATTCTCCATAATAATAGCGGGTAAATATCCTTAAGATTGTTAGAGAAAATATTGATTTATGGGTAATAAGAATTAGCTTGAGGCGTGTCAAGGACACTATCCTTAAGGATATTTCGCTCACACAGTGATAGAATAAAATTAGGCGTACCCCCAAAAATTCAACAGCTCCTAGTATAAATTAAGAGCAGAAACAACAAAAGGTGAATAAAAGATAACCCAACACAAAAGAAAAAGGAGAAGATATTTTGTTACTCTTTTCTTATCTATTCAAAGTGAACACGAGTGATTTTATTTTGTGTCTCACACAACTTACATTAGTTGTAGAAGGCCTCTTTTTATCTCACATTTGTGGACCCATATCTTACACATCTGGGTCCACAAAATTCTGGGACCACACAATTGTGAGACAAAAAAAAGGCCTCGCACAAATAGTGTCAGTTGTGCGAGGCACAAAATAAATTTTTTTGATGAAATCACCATTGTGACGTTGTAATGATGCTAACTACAGTCCGGCTTCCTCATCATTTGGGTGAAAGTGCTGGAGAAGGTAACAGATCTGTGCAGTGGCATGACGGTCCATATATATTTCTGTTTAGGCACATTTTAGCTTTAAATTTTGTTGATCTCAGTCCTTCGCTGTTCGTTTATTCACTTACCTCTAAGACAATTGACAAAGGCTAATATCCTTCTTTCATAGCAGAAAACCAAAAAGGCTATTCAAAGTACTGCTTTTTCTGTGTCCAAAACAAGTTAAATAATAGTAAAAGTATTGCTTATTATACGAAAAAGTCGTTTATGTTTTTAGTTCCTGAAAGAAAGATCATGAATGAGAGTGGTAGTATAACACTGTAACTAGCAAAGGCTGATATTGCAAGCGGTGACAGAGAGGAAATGGGGCAGACCTGATAGCACTTGGCAATCAGGCTTTGCATATTTGCATTTCATATGTTCCCATCTGTGGCTGTCTCACATGGCCTCATTTCTTTCTCTCAGTGTTGGTATAACAGAGTACCAACTATTTACGAGGCTTGTACCAGAAAAACTAGAAGACATCCTTTAACAAGTAAAGATTCAGGATGCCTAGAGACCCTTGCCTATGACAACTCTTGGTTGCCATGAAAGGCATTGGCATTCTTCCCTGCATCTCAAAAAGGAAGAATAGAGGGGGAATGTAGGCTCTGCAAAATGGTTTTCATGGTCTCTAAGCTAGCAAAGAATGAAGGAGAGCAATTGATAAGATTCGTTATATCAGAGTATGCTGGCAAAGAGATTAAATTAAAATGACATCACAAATAAACGAACCAGAATTTAGAGACATGACCAACTCCCTATGCAGTGATATCAGAACAGAACCATCTGTTAAGCTGATGAAACGAAGAAATTAATGTGAGGACAAAGATGTGAGCAAGAAACTATTACTAGCAATGTGATCAGAGGCATCAAAGTTAAAAATCTGAAAAGTTGAATTATTAATATTGGGAGATATACAAACTGTAGAGTTTATAGCTATATGCTGCAGCGACTAAGCTTGTTGGGATACTTTTCGTTGAACTTGATAACCAATCTATGAAGTTCTTATTTCAAATATCTTGAGCATATTCCAAGCAAAAAACATTATCGGTATCTTTGGATACTTATGAATTTGAGTAACAAGTATCGTGAAGACGACCACAACATTTGCAACAGGAGCATTGAAGATGTATCCACGTTCACAATCAATTACTTAGACTCCACAAAATCTCCACAGTTTCCTAAGTTGAACGCTGTTGCAGATATCTTGAACATATCGGAATTAGAGTGGAATCTAATGGAGAAACCTAGAAGCTAAGTGAATTCTCCATTTTAAGAGTTTCCCCACCAGTTAGAATTTGATGTCTGACATGCTCAAAAAGTAGAATGCATTATCCAAAAGGATCAACCCTGTGTTTAGATTTCCAGTTATGCCAATACTGCTTGGAAAACAGTCATATCACATCTAGTTATATTTAAGAGAAGCTAACCTTTGGGCAGGATCGTTGCGGTCTTTGAATATCATTAGCAACATGCTTCGGCCTTGTTCCAAAGGTGAACAAGTCGTCAAAGCTATGAAATACCAAGATTTCAGGTTCAACAGACAGCCACAACTATCACTCCCGTTGATTTTGATGTTCTGCAGGAAATGTCATCAGCTGGCTTATCAAAGATGATCAGAAAATCCTTGACCTAGGAACGGAAGTTCAAGAGAAGATGAGTATGAGAGAATTTTTTCTATTCAACTTTTTGGAGATAATTTTGAGGTTTAGGTAAAACCATCAGACATTAGGACAAAAGATGAAGCAGAAACTTGATAATGTTTAGTTAGGAATCCGCTTGACCAATTGGTAGACCTTTCATAGAAAGAAGACACGGGACCTATCTTGCTTTGCTTTAATTCAAACATGATAATAGACCAAAAAGATAAAAGAACATTTGAAAATAGAGTAAGGATGATATAAGAACACACAATTAACAATAAACTAAAGAAATAGATGAGAGTAGAGAAAAAAAGAATTTGTTAACACCTCGTACTATGTTTTGTTCTTTAGATACCACACATCTTAAATAGATAATGAGGTTAATACTATACAAAAATCTGACATATGTATGAATGTAGTAAATGATTGTTTGAGATACATTTACGGTGATGACTCCTCTGTTGACAGTTATACCGTGCAGTTATTGGGTCTACTTGACTTCTTGTTCATATCATTAACTTCCATATGAGTGAGTTTGACTGCTGGACAATACCATTAGTTTCAAGCAAATATATATTATGATTCTTGTTACTATAATTTCTGTTACTCGTGGATATGAACCTTATAGCGCTCTGGTTAGTCTCTTCTTCAACCCTTTCAAAGCAGAGCAAAAGAGAGAGGAAACATACTCCATAGATCCTTGGTCCACAGTTGCACAACCCTCAACTTGCTTTGCTTGGAATACCTCAGAAACAGCAGTATTGTCATCCAAGTCAACATTGTCTTTGCTGTTTGTATTGTCAGAATGAGTCTGCTGGGCTTCTGCAAGAGTTCTTAAATTTCAGCTGCAGAACAGATATTCATCTTTTGTTCACAACAGACAGAAGATTTCATATACCTGTTAATACACTCGACACCACAGAATGGTTCTTTTGAAGGATCTTCTGACACATTATGGTACCCTGGAAATCAAGGAAAGTGTAATCCAAGAAGTTTACTCTCTCCGATTCTTTCATCACTGAGAAACCAAATGAAGCGGTCCATGTGTCTAGGACAGCAGGAACTGCTGGCAAAACTAGCCTCTCAACTCCTAATTCCATGAGTTTCTGGGGAAAAAATACCAAGCATTCAAATCAAGCATTCAAGTCTGACTATACAGCATCTAAGTAATTTATTTGGACCAATGCAGTTCACATAACATATTTGCCCTACTAGCATCACTTTTGCTAAGTCGAATGTGAAACCCTAAGACTGTTACTACCATGACATTGTGGACATTGGCTAACGAACATTTCCAAATATCAGATCTTTTCCAATAAAATGTACGTCAACAACCCCTCATAGGGATATCTGACCATTTAACCCGCTTAAATACATAGCCTAAACATCTTGAATCGGCAGCACTGGATGAGGAAAGTAACCTATAACTAATATTTACAAGAAAACACAACAGAAGATCTTTTTATACTTTATATAGCTTTCATGGACATCCCTGCATCAGAAAGAATATGCTCGGGACTCTTTTAGAGATGTTCCTTTGGTATCCCTCAGCTTAAACACACCACCACCATCCCACAAGAAAAAAAAAGAGTCAAAGCTGGACTGGAGAAGAGATGCATACCTTTTCGAGCTCATTCATTAAAATGCGACACATTCCAAGTCGGCGATGCTGAAATTGTGTTGCAACAAGAGGGATCTCTGCCACCTTTTCTCCATAAACCCTTTGAGATGACAGGAAAAGCATATAAAAATTTTGTTTATTACTTTCAGAATTATGGAAAAGTGTACAAGGAAGAACACAAAACTGATGGTAATTTGTCCTGAAAATATATAACAATGTGGTACCTTACAGTCGCTACTGTAATCAGTTCGTCATTTCTTTCTAACAGCACAGTGTAAAAACCTTGAAAATTTAAGCGGTTTAGCTCTGACCTGCAATTTCAGATTTTATATGTTTGTCGTTAGTCAAAATAATAAAATTCCAATCATATTTTTTAATAAAAACAATTAAAGAATATTACATGTCTACACGAGAGTTCAACTAATTTTGGAGATGAACAACACATTGTCTTAATATACCTAGAACACAATACTACCTTTGAAAGAACAATATTGGTACCCAGCAAACTACAGCCAGGTACTGACTTCATGATTGGTGCAAACCTCTACTAAAGTATGTCACAATGAGTAGTCATGTTAAAGCATATCAGAAAGGTCTGTTTTACATAAAATTATGCAGTTGAACGCAAACGCTTGGTCTATTTTTCTATAAGTAAATGATCAAAACTATTTGAAACGAAAGGATTAAAATTAAAAGTAGACCACTAAGATTGTGCTGAATAGATTACATCAGAAGACCAGACTGACTCATCTTGAAAATCTGAATCTTACCATCTACTGAAGATAACATCTTCTACAATATCTCTCCTAGTGTGAGGTTCTTTGACAGGTTCAAAACATTCATGCATCACATCCAAAGCAACACTAAGTCTGCTATAATTCTCCACACTGGACTCATAATCCACAATATCAGAACCAGAATCATCAGGTTCTATATATTTCAACAGTGTCCAAGTTAGGTTATCATCCCCCACTATAACTGGCTTTCCCAAAAGATGATGCATACCCAAAAATATCTGCAAAAAAAATAAAAATCGTCTCAGATACAATATTTCCCCAGAGTTAAAACCCAAAGAAAATGAAAAAAGCACTACTTGAGCATGTTATCACAATGTTTCTCAGGCATTAAATATTTTCCTAGGTTGCAAAATTAAGACCAGTCAAATGTAGCATTTATCTCATCGCACAGTTGTTTCAAGTGTGTTTTATAACTTCTCAACGGATTAAAAGTGCACTTTGAAGAAAGCATGCTTCAAATACCAGCTCACAGCTCTTGTTGCAAAACCAATTTCCTTCAGGATAATTATCCAGCTTTCCAGGACCCTTGCTTCTAACGCACCGAGCATGATCTGCATTGGATCAATCTTAAATTCTTAATCAGTAAATAAATACATATATGGAGATATGCATGCACACACATACATACAGTTCTATATTTCTGACCACGAAAATGTTACAGGAACATACTAGGAAGATCAAAAAATGTAGCAGGAACATATGAGGAAGATCAGACAGTTCCTTACACTTATGCTCGCACTGACAACAAATTAGAACATTGTTATCTGTAAAGTGGTTTCTGTTTGTATCAAATCCACTATGACCACACACTTTACAACAGCATGATGGGCAAAACCAGTCACCATCTGGAACCTCCTGTTTAAACAATTTGCAAAATAAAACCAGTGGAAGAAGTATATAAAAAGATATGCCTCGCTCTATAACCATGATCCAGTACTATTTAGCTTTTTGATTGAGGATTAAGAAACAAAGTAGAATACTTGAATATAACAATAAGAAAGCGATACCTTCATTCCAAGACAATCAGGATGAAATGAAGAAGGGCACTCATCACATAGAATTAGTTCACCGCCATAATGACACACGGAACATATATAGTCATTCGTGCTAAAACGACTACCCTTCTTCACAGCACGTGGTTCTTTCCTGGTGTTTTTTACACTCTGTTTACGTTTCATCTGCAGTTGGCACTCAAGAAGAGACCTTCCATCCTCTAAAAATATATTTGCTGAAGGTCTGTGACAACTGCTTCCAGCATGAGTTTCAAAGTTATGAAGACCATAAATTTTTTGGCAGCAAGTGCATTTGATTCCTTCACGAGTTATCTGCCCATCTGCCATTGGATTACCATACTTCTTTGCACAATATAGTACCTTAGTACGTGGCAGAACCACATTATTGTCTATCAACCAGGATAAAACTGTTCGAGATGTTTTATGAGAGGAAGAAGAAGGAGCCGCCTGCCGAGTTCTTTTACTTGATCGCATCACACAGGCTGAAGGATGAAGTCCTATACCATTTCCTTTTTTGAGTGAGGGCCAAGATTTTTTTCCTTTTGATACAGGCAAGCCACTTATGTGGATATCTTTTTCATCATCATGCTTTCTCTTCTTTCTTGGTTTGGTCATGCGACAAAATTTGACTTTACCATTTTGAAGGGGTTCTCTTAACAATGAGATAGGAGATGTCCCCACTGGAAACTTCTCACATGAGCTTTTCGCAGGTGAAGAGTTACTCTTGAACTCCATAGCAGTTGATGGAGAAGACACTTTTTCCGGTAAGTGGCTTTCAGCTTTCCACTTCTGTGCGCACCATCTGCAAGCTTTTCGAAGAGAGGCAAATATTTTTCCTTCAGGAGAACAGTATCGCAATTTTCTGTCTTTCTTCCCAGCAAAAAAGATTTTCCATCCAATTGCAACTAGGTGTTTCTTAGCTTTCAGAGATGTATCCCCTATCCTCACCCCATGTTTATAGGACTTCCGATAGGCACTGTCTAGAGATTTCGGAGAACAATAGTCAATTACAGCTTGAGGGCAGATTTCAGGAACAATAGTTGTTTCTTCAGAAGGAGATGGCAATTCAGGCACCTCACTGCGTGTTGGTGGTCTTGCCGCGCAAGGAGACTTATCAGGTGATCCATATAAATTTCTTTGTTCAACTGGGGGAACCAGCTCACAAGCTTTTGACTCTTCCAACACCTGGCAAACTTGACTAAGTGACTGGCATATCTTTCCATTAGGAGCAATGTAACGTTTCCTAATGATTCCGCAATCCATTACGAGTTCAAATTTCCAGCCCAAAAACAAGAGATGCTTCTTAAATTTTTTTATTGAGGACATAGATGGCATATACTTTGCAATTGCATCAGGGCAAAAGTCAGGTTCATCTGCCGGGGTCTGCCCCTCGAATCTCTTCTTTTTTGTAGTAGGTCTACCCCTGCGACGCTTAAAATTCGTGCAAGTCAGTGGTTCACTTTTGGTACTGGACAAAATACCAGCAAAGTCATCATTAGGCGGAGGTAAAACAGAGAAAGCATGAGGTGATACAGACAGTAGTTCTTTTTGGCTAAGAGGAACTGACCTACAAACATCATTAACACACAATTGAACATCCTTTTTGCTAGGCGCAAAACCCTCTGAAACAAACTGCTTAACAACAGGTTGAAGATGGGACACATTCGGATCCATAGGCTGCATGCCTGTAGTATCTAATTTGCAAGTGGCTTCAGTAACAGGTGCATTCGAGTTATCAAAATATGTTTCAAGGTTCAGTTTAGCCTCAAGGGTAACTTCTGAAACTTCCAGCAATCGGCCTCTCTCTACAAAGTCCTGTGAGGAGTTCAGTTCAGAAAAAAATTGCTTGATAGCTAACTTGGTATTATCATGCACAACTTCCTTCACCAAATTCCTCCAAATATCTCTCAAAGATGAAGTCCACTCAAGATTCTCATAATCCTTTTTCAGCTGCACTTCATACCAAATTTGTTTGACTGAGACTAAAAGGGGGTGTAGATGCTCGATCTCCTCAATCACATCAAGAAACATCCAGGAACCACGAGGCTCCCATTCTTCTGTAACCTCATCCCAGTCTTGAGTTATACGCAGCTTGTCCACTTGAGCCTTCATTTCATCACCCATATCTGGAAAGAAAATTTTCCGTTCCACAGCACAGTCTTCATGGTCAAATATCACACCTTCCCACCAGGCATCTTGATAAAACAAATCTACACACTGTCCATAATGTAAATGCCATCTGCTAAATTCACATGGAGGTGGCAAAGGCCTAATTAGACCACGATAATGGACTGGCTTTTGATCAGCGGGAGTTACCCCATCAACCATAGGAGAAACCGTCACAAATTCAACCAAGTTGCCAGAACCATCATCTGACAGAAGGTGATCATATTTAACTTGACGAACCAAATCATCACAACCAATCACAGCACCCGCGTGCCACGAACCCAAAAACCCATCATCAACACTCCTCACCTGCATAAATCATAATCCAGTTACAAGAACATTCAAGACGTATCGCTGTCCCCCCACTCTCCCTCCATTTTGTTAATGCAAGTAATACACTTTACAACAATCAAAATACCAAAAACAAATGACGCCATTGAACTAATAACTGGAAGGGAGATATTAAAGCAGTCCATAGAACTCCCTAATATTTTCCTCATTGATGCTGAAATTGAGGTTTGTATGTACAATGGTCAATGAACCGCAAAAATTGAGCACACCCTTTTACTAGTTCAATCTAATATAATTTCAGGTCATTCACTTCACGAGCAATAAACAAAATCCACATGCAATGGCGATGCAGGTTGCTATCCACAGTGTTATCAATTGTTTGCCTAATTACATATACAAATATACAGCAAGGAAAGATAGATAACACAATGTGAGTAAATCAACCTTAGAAAGCTATCCTTTCGTAAACTTAATAACACCAGTGAAGCCTAAAGGTCAAGAATTCAGTCAAAATTTTTATCAAACCCCAAAATCCGGAACTAATACAACCTTATGAACCACAAAAACAAAAACAAAAAACATATACTCCCTCTGCCCCATTTAACATTTAATTTTTATTCAAACATTTCTGATTATAAAAACTCTGATCAGAAGTATTGTACGTAAATTTAATTTCTAAAAATTGAGAAAATCATGTCCAAACTGATAAAAGTTGAAACAAATGAATCAAAAAAAAAAAATTAAACAGAGCATTGAGTTTACCTCAACTTTTTGATCAACACCCAGTTTCCGATGAGTTCCTCCATCTACTTTGCGCTTCCTTTTCCTCAAGACTCGTTCTTCATTTTCTGCCGTCATTGAACTGTGCTATGCAAAAGCGTTAGGGGAATGAAAGGAATTACACTGAATCAGTATCCCACAATTAGAGAGAAATATATATATATATGCATAATATTAATAACAATTAATTCGATTACGAAATTGTCGGATTACATTATTCTCTTTTTTTACCAAGTAGTAACACCTCTTCTTCCAGTTTTCTCTGTCTGTTCGTTTTGGGAATATAACTATTATTATTATAAGTTGTTTTTTTTTCCCTGCAGTTTCGGAAATAAGTTAAAAGTATGTTCAGGAAAGGACATATAATGAGGGTGCAAAATTTGATATGTTTATCCAGTGGGGACAAAAGGAAAAAGAGAATTGACGGTTGTGATTTAATTAGTACAAAATACCGTGCCAACATGGAATTGGAACACGTTCATTTTGTACTCATAAGATAAATTATTGTACTACTAATACTTTATGAATTTTTACCTTTTCTGTTGTTTTCAAAATTGATCCTACTGTATGTGTCTTTCAAGTAGTATTTTTACTTCAGAAAGACATTAATAGGTAAAAATTGCACGGGGCGTCCTATTTAGTCGCCCTCATTTAACTTATATTTATTTTTTTTAAAGTTTTAGTTTGTACCCATTTTTTAAATAATTTCAGCCTCCTTTCTTCTCCTCCTTCATTTTTTTCTTCTCTTCTTCTTCTTCTTCTTCTTCTTCTTTCTTCTGCTGCTGTTGGTGCTGCTATGAAACTTCAGTTCATGGGATGATTGCCATAAGTATGTTTATCAGATTATTTAAAAACAAATTATAAATAATTACGTAAGTTAGTCGACAATAATTTGTGAATATTTCCACGTACCGGAAGTTTAAGGTCACACTTAGTGATTCTTTTCATGATAATTCTGTTCTTTTCATGTTTATTTATTTCCAAAATTTTATGATTTAAATACTGTTGACAATCTGATTATTTTATAGTAGTCTGATTATAACAAAATTAATGAATCCAGGACAAAAAAACTTCAGCTTATTTAGTGCTGAAGTTTTGACAAATGAACTAAATAACTTCAGCATCTTCTGCTGAAGTTTTTGAACAAGCTTTATGACAAAACTAATGAATTCAGGACAAAAAAACTTCAGTTTATTTAGTGCTGAAGTTTTTACAAATGAACTAAATAACTTCAGCATCTTCTGCTGAAGTTTTTGAAAAAGCTTTATGACAGAACTAATGAATCCAGGACAAAAAAACTTCAACTTATTTAGTGCTGAAGTTTTTACAAATGAACTAAATTACTTCAGCATCTTCTGTTGAAGTTTTTGAAAAAAGCTTATCTAGGACAAAAAAACTTCAGCTTATTTAGTGCTGAAGTTTTTATAAATGAACTAAATAACTTTAGCATCTTCTGCTGAAGTTTTTGAAAAAGCTTAATGACAAAACTAATGAATCCAGGACAAAAAAAACTTCAGCTTATTTAGTGCAATTAAAAACAAAAACTTCAGCAAATAGAATAGAGAATAAAACTTCAGCTACCATGCTTAAGTTTAGTAATTACAAACAAAAACTTCAGCAAATAGAGAATAAAACTTCAGCTACTATGCTTAAGTTCAGCAATTACAAACAAAAACTTCAGCACACTTGGTTCAGCACACTTTCTACCTCAGGCCCGTCTATTAAAATGCTGAAGTTTTGCGTGATTGCCTTTGCTACTTTAGCCCCGTATGCTGAAGTTACGCGAAAAAAGTGGGTACGCTTGCAATTTTTTTTGCAAAACGGGCACAAGTTAAAACGTGATAAAAAAAGTGGGTATAGATGCAAATCCCCCTTTCCATCGAACAGAGTAATTTATGCAAAATCTAACTATTTTTTTCTTCTAATTCCAATGCAACTTAGAGGACTAATTTTTCACTTTACCGAACCAAAGTCACTAAATTATATAATTATAATTATAATTATATATATACAAGAGCCCGTTTGGACATAAGATTTATTTTTTTTCAAAAATTTTTCATTTTTTTTCGAAATTAGTGTTTGGCCATAAAATTTTCAATTTTCACTTGAAGATGAATTTTGTAATTTTTCGAAAATTTATAAAACTACCAAAATTATTTTTCAAAATTTTCACTTATATTACTCGCAAAACTTAAAAAACAACAAAAAATTATATTCATGTCCAGACACAAACTCTAATTTTCAAACATAATTTTTACTTTGAAATTTTTTTCACTTTTATTTTGAAATTTTACAATTCTTATGTCCAAACGCCCACTAAAATTTAGATGAAGTGAAATTAGCAGAGGGACTGCGGGAAAAAGTGGAACGCCGGGCGGATTATCCGGAATTTCGATTTATGAGTTGCAAAAGTTGAAACGATTTGACTGAAACTTCTGCTCTTCCACGCCATTGAACAAGTGTGCTAGTAGTTCATACATTACACTGATTTAGGGTTTTAAAGTAAGTTTCTTCTTTGATTTTTGGTAGTAAATGAATATAGTTCAAAAAGTTTATAGTTTCTTAAGCATTTTCAACAGTGGAGCTTAAACTTATTATGTATAGTGTTGTTTATTTTGTTGCGGTCAAATCCTTTAAGAGCTTACATGCAGGCAATTAGACTTTACGGAATAAGCATATCTTGATTTTGAATAGTGATACTACACATGAAATTGCTTTGTTATGAGTGACTGAACTAAATTTGGGGTCAACTGGTTTTCTGGGCCATTTTATTTTATTTTTTTAGTTTTATGTTTAAGAGATCTGAAAATAAAACACATGATATTGTTATTTTCTTCTATTCAAATTGTAAATGTGTTATGTTGAATCATTTCCTCATATATTTAGGAAATAGATTTTTGTAATTCTTCTGACGGATTGGGCAATCAGCTGAATTTTTGGGTCAGGGTTGGTGGGAGGGGGTTCGAGCCTTGGAATCAGCCATTGATTGCTTGCATTAGAGAATGTTGCCTACATTCCACCCCTCGGGGTACAGCCCTTCCCGGACCCTGCGCGAACATGGGATGCTGAGTTGCCTGGTTGGTGGGAGGGGGAAAGCTGGTAAACTGTTTCCAAGATAATGAAATAGTTTGCTGTATAATTGCCATTTATTGGATTCAATTAAAACAGGCAACTTTCAGTGGGCTTACGCTAATTTGCATAGAGCCTTGTTGCAGGATGGCTTTTAATCTCGAACCTTTCTATTTTTAAGCTTCAACTGTTAGTCAGGGAAGCATTGTTTTTTTTCTTTTGCATTTGGATTATTTGCACTGTGAGTATAGTAAGAATCATCAGACGTAATTTGAGGTTTATTTATCACAGCTGAAGATGGCTAATGATGCTACATCTGGGAGAAAAAATAAGGATAATGAGAGTAATAACTCAGAGAACAAACTGGTTGGTAAAGGATCATCAAGTCGTGGTTCTGGAAAGACAGATGGATCCACAAGAAGCTCAGCTCAGGAAACCTCATCGAAACAAAAGGCTTTAAGCCCTGCAAGTACAAGGAAGTCTGAGCGTCTAGAGATGCGGACACCATCTACTCCTCCTGCTAAGAGGAAATCTGTGAGACTTGAACAACAGAATAATCCGACACCTTTAAAAAGGTCTGAGAGGTGCTCTACTACATCAAGATCAAGGTACTTAGGGAGAGAATCCAATTCGTCTAGTACAAAGGAGGAGAACCAGGAGAAGACTGCGAAGAAGCTGACAACGGAATTTGAAAATGTTAGCACTAGCAAGAAAAATGCTGCAGCATCTGTTGGCTTAAAAAGGAAGAGACTGGATGGCAGACCTTACAAGTTATTATTCAAAAAGCAAAAGAAAGGAGGTACCGCATCGGTTAAGCCAATTGTTCTCTTGAAGTTCTCATTTTCTTGTTTCAGTTTTCCTTGGCCTTTTTATTGTAATAACAAAGAGAAGTAGCACAAGATCAGCTCTCTCTTGGGATGCTGGGAAGTGTAAAAGAAGCTTCATGCATTGCCTATAATTTTCATTATGAGTGTTGTTGAAATGCAAGTGTTAAGATTGGTGTGTGATCATATATGGTTAGATAAAATCAGATATGATCACATTCAGCAAAAAGTGCAATTAACATATATAGATGATAAAATGAGTGAAGATCGCGTGAGATGATTTGGTATTTCCTACGCAGACCTCTGAATGCACTGGTCCATATGTTTAAACCTATGTTGCTCGGACTCTCCAAAAATGTGGCCGGATACGTGTTGGATCCTCCAAAAGCAGTGCATTTTTGAAGTATCCAACACGGGTGCGGCTACATTTTGGAGAGTCCATGCAACATAGGTTTAAACTATGATATTCGAAGGTGTTAGCTTATCAAAAAAGAAAAATAAAGGATGATTGAAGGTGTTAAATGGGATGATGTAGGGACTATAATATATCTGAATCCATGCAGATATAACAAAATTTTAACACAATTAAAGAAAAAGGTCAATATAGGCGACACCACTACTTGGGATTAAGGTTTAGTCATGACTCATTACGGTACGCCTATATAAGGTGTTAGATGTATAGAGATGTGTACGTCAATAGAAATCGTAGATAACCTCAAAGTGTTTGAAAACCCCAAGTTGTGGAGTATTGGAATTCAATGAGCCCAAATGGAGCGAAATAGACAGTGATTCATGTAGCCTACACCAAGTAGCTAGGATTGAGGTGGAATTGTTGCTGTTATCGTTGTAACGTAAATAGACTTGTTTGTCTGTAACACTGCCTAACTTCTTTTGTACTTAATTTTGCTTCATAACAGGAACATAAACTCAGACCTCTTTCATAGTTACCTATGCCAAGTTGTTCTTCAGTTGCTGAACAGTAACATCATCGATTCCACAACCAACACCTTACTTATCACAAAAAAAAAAAAAAAAAGGAATTATTCCGCAACTTAACTATTACCTTATTTTCAAAAAAAAAAAAAGAGGAACTATTCCACAACAGCTGACAGTTGCAGTTGTGCTATCTAGGTTGTTTCTACTTCTAAAATATTTTCATCATGCTGTAAAATAGTTGTAGGTAATGTTATATATGGATAAGATGGTGTTCTCCTCTCATATAGTGTATGAATCAGCAAGTTGTTTCTTCCATATTTTCATCTGTCAGATCTTTCTGCATCTTATTTGCATTATTTCTCTTGCTTGATGACCTTTGCATGTTGTTAGTACCTACAAGTTTAGATGTTCCTTCAGAAATGTTTGTGACTGGCGTCCCAATGTGTCTCACACACTTATGACTTATTATTGGGATAATTATTATTTTGTGTGTTAAATCGCTCTGCTGTAGATGAACTGAAATGCACTCAGGCATATATATTCTTACAGCTGTCCTTATGTAGTTCGTTATAAGTTCTATGAAAGTGATGTGGTGCTTCATTTATTCTTCTCTCTCTCTCTCTCTCTCTCTCTCTCTCTCTCATTTTGGGTGAGGTTCTCCAGAACTGTTATTTTCTAATGGTGTTCTATTTTTGGTACTGGGCCATCGATTGGTGATATCTTGGATGATTTTCTGCATCAAATATTTGGAGAAAACTCTTATGAAAGAGTTGAGACGTGCCTTGGCCGTTAACAGATTTAACAATAAGGAATCGAGCTATTTATTTTCTATTCGAGAGTCGAGTTTGCCATTCTACCGTTTAACTCTCATTGGTGGATAGTGTTATTATATGATAGTGACTGGAATCTGACAAATGATATGAACTCTGGGCGTTCTTTATTAAAATTTCCATCATACATGAATTCTACTATAGCCTTATATTCTTCAAGAAATTCCTCCTTGTTCTTGAGAATTTTTCTTCTCCTTTTTCAAAAGGCTTTTTGATATCCAAAGGGTATGATCATTTTAAAATTTCTGAATAGGACTACTCATCCTTCGTATTGCACTCATTAGAATGATTATCCTTACTATTCTTCTTTAGGCCTTTTAGCCTAGTACAATTACTAAAGCAATCAAATATCAAATGATGCTGCAAATCAATTGTTTTATCGCTGATTAGTTGAAATTTTAAAATTAATTTTGCGATTGGACTTGTCTTTTGATGGCCGTATTGAAATTATACTTTGTTGAAGCTTCATTGAAGAGTTAGATTAACATTGAATGCTGAAGTTAGTAATCTTAACTGTAATTTGATTATTATAAATACTAAATTCATATATGTTTATCATTTTTCTTATGAACAAAAGTGAAATGTTTAGCAATATTTTATTTTCAGTAAATTGTGCGCTTCACTTATCAGTTCTTCAAGCCTCATAGACCTTGTTGCTTTTCTGCACTTTTCGTTTTTTAAAAACTGCTCGAAAAGAGGTATCTCTTCACTCAACAATTTTGAATAGATTATCCTCATGTTAGTATATGTTTGTTGCACCATATATTTAACTGTTTCTAGAAGAACATACTCTTGCTGATAGATTACATGTGGCGCCTTTTTAGTAACAGCTGCTAATATGTCTTTCTTGGGTCAGATCATTGTGAAGATGATGGTATTGATGGGGAGCATGGTTCTGGATCTCCATCTAGTTTGTTGCGTGAGGAAGACCTGGTTGCGCCTGAAGAAAGAGGAATCCTATTCAATGAGCAGAAGAGCCTCCATATCCATCTAAAAGCTGAGATTGCAAAACTTTTTGGAGTGATAAAAGTTTCGGTATTGACTTCTATATTACACGTCATATAAATTTTTTAAATCAGTTTTCCACAGAAGGAAATGCTAATCTCATATCTACAAATGGTGTAAAATGCGTGTACTCTGTGAAATGTTGCAAAAGGGTCAGTTTTCTGTTCAGTTGAAAGGTGTACGCCCTGGTTAACTTACCTCGGATATTTACTCCTTTGTTTAGAGTTTTGTTAGTGGCTTTAACCAAATTGTTTGAGTAATAAAACATTTACGAGCACTTATGGGACGCCTTGTGTTTGCTGTTGTAACTCTTTCTTTAAAGCCCTAACAGACAATATTAGTTCAGCTCTCGGTTAAGTGGTTAGAAGCGCGTTGACCAAAAACATAAGGGCGCTGCAATTTGAGAACTTTCTTCAATAACTGTCAATGAGACTGTCTTACGTTCTACAAATTTTAGACCTTACCTAAATCCAGTACTTAGTTTTCACGAATGACGGTGTTTGGTTAAGCAATCTTAAATTTTATTATTCTCCTATAATCGCTTGGTTCGCCATTGGCTCAAATAATCTTCCTTTTTTGTATGAAAGCTATTTCCATTTGGCTGTCCTCCCTTCCTAGCTTAGTACATGTTTGGTTATCCAAATTTTCATAAAAATGTGCCGGCGCCATTTCCTTAACCTGAAAGTGAATCTTACTACGATAATTTGTTCGTCCTTTCTGTTGCATTTCTGCCCCTCACACCTCCTGAGAGCTTTAGGTTCTTCGATGATGCTTTTGAAAAGCATTTTGTGTTGGCTTATGACTCTATTCTTAAGAAATTTATCTTGCCCTTCCTAATCTGCCATGACGAATCTCTTATCATGTATAGTTTGTTCTATTTCCCTTTCCCTTCCTTCGGTTTTTAAAGGGTTGGGGTTGTGGGGAGGGCTGGTATGATATATCAGGAGAAAAACTTAAGTTACGTTTGGTGCTGTGTGTAAAGGAAAATAAAAAAGGTATTCTGGCAAGACTACCATACTCAACTTCCAACTTATAAGTACTGCTTTTAAAATTTGAAGTCACGACCCCGGTCTTTCACTGTGTTGATATGGCTCTAAAATCTAAATGCAGGAAGTCATCAAGCATACTGCAGAAAAATTTCTGGAATATATTATGGAGAATCATCGTGTTAGTAAGGAACCTGAAACAATTTTGCAGGCTTTCCAGATATCTCTGGTTAGTATCTTTTTTTCATCCACTTTCACTGTCTCTTTGCTTGTGTTTTTTATTCTTAGATTATACTAGTTATGTAAATCATAATTTTACCCTTTCTGTGTTGAATATCATATAATTTTATGTGTGGTGACAGATACTTGTGGATATAATTTTATCAGGATTGCAGTGACAAATATATTGTAGATATAATCGTATTAGGAAATTTTCGTTATCTGGCTGCTATTACTACTTGTTGTGTCTGCCTCTTTTAAGTTTTCTTTGAGCCGGGGTTCTATTGGAAATAGCCTCTCTACCTTCACAAAGGTCGGGTAAGGTCTGCGTATATTCTACCCTCCCTAGACCCTACTTTGTCGGATTACACTGGGTATGTTGTTGTTGTTGATAATCGTATTAGGAAGCTTGCCAGCAATTTTAATGGTCTTTCTTGTGGACTGATGAATTATAAATTTCACCTATTTTTGACGCGCACACATGCACATATGTAGTAATAAAGTACTTCTGAAATTTTTCATACTTCAAGTTCGAACACATCTCTTTTGGGCATGGGACTTTTGGAATGCATTGATTGGACTGCACCAGTTCAAACACCTCTCAGCTTCATAAGTGCTACAAAAGACTTTCATATCCAACAAAAGCTTCAAGTTTCAATGCAAATCATGTCTAACCCAATGCTAGGTTCTTTTGAAGTTTTGGCAGAACTAAGGCAACTTCTAACTGAAGATTTTTGCGGATTTCTTTGTGTTGTTTCTTCTTATTTACATTTTTATTTAATTTTTGGTGCTTTGCGGAACCTGAGGGCAAGAAAATTTGTTTGCTCCTTGCCTCTATATCCATCATCTTACGTGCTTCTCCTTTTAAGTATCATACTTATAACTCTCTTGATTTAAAATCCTGCTCTAAACTCTCCTCTTTATTTTTTCTTCTCTATGTGCAAGTAACTCTAGCTATTGATTATTTCCAATATTACTTTGCACGAATGGGATTTTATACTGGAATCACTTTTCTCACGAAAAAGAAAAGAGAGAAAAGTAGTTACTATTCACTTGTGGAGGTTACAAGTTTAACATGCTCAATTTTTGCTAATTGTAAAGTAGTCGTTCGTGTATAAAAATGCTTTGTGGAAAGGTATTGTCTCATTTCATAACTCTCTTTGCATCCTGAGATATCTTTATTGTTGCCTTAAATTTACATGTTCATTTTAGTGAATTTACTGAACTTGTGTTCTCATTGATGTCTACTGTAATTGTCAGTCTTGGATCGCAGCTTCAATCGCGAAGCAAAAGATTGACAAAGACAATATATTCTTGCTCGTAAAACAACAGTTACAGTTTAGATGCACTAAAGAAGAGGCATACAATGTCTATCTGAAGCTGCGTTCCTTAAAGAAGATATTTTTGCAGAGATTGGATCAGAATGCTCCAAGATATCCTATATCATCATCTGTTAAAGAAGAGCCATATAAGGGAAGCATGTCGCAAGCAGTAGTATCTACCCCACTGAACGTGAAAACCGATATCAAAGACAGGTTACTAGATAAACGGTTCAGTGGAGAAGGCAGTGTAATTCCTGAGGAAAAACTTATGGACAGTCAAAGGGAAAAGGTCTTTAAGGAGGTTCAGTGCAGACGTGACAGGCAAATATCCATGCTGGGACAAAAGCAACAAGAAAAACTTGAGGAGTTCCATAGAATCTGGGAGAAGAAAAAGGAAGAGCTAGAGAAGGAGTACAGAATGGAGATAGCTGTTCTTCGCTCTATACATGGTCAGACTGCAGCAACTAAGGATAGACAAAAAGCATTAGAAACTGAGTTTGCAAGGAAAATGGAAGAGCACAAATGCCAAAAGGACAAGCAACTCAAAGAGCTTGAGGCTAATTTCTCTGCTATGAGGAATGAGGAGATGCATAATTCCCATTATGCGGTTGATGAGCTCCATTTGCTTGGATCTGATTCTGGGGACGGCATGGGGTGCTCCGAGGAAAGTTTAAATGTCTCTGACAGTAATCCCAAGACTGTTACCCCTGTATGTGGACAGCATGTTGAGTTACAGTGTCCAGACAATGTTGTCTCTAGCATGCATGGCGACGTGACAGCATCTGATGCACCTGCATCTTCTCAAGACGAGTGCCATGTTCTTCCTGTTCTATCTACTAAAGTCTTAGAAGCTTCAGTTTCAGAAGAGCAAGCTGAGATCACCACCACGGGGAGAACATTGGTTGCTGCAATTGAGCAGTCCGATGAAGCAGGTAATTCAGGTGGCAGTGGAGAGGAAATTGCTTGTAAGGTTCCTCTACTTTCCAAAGAACATACTGGTGAAGTCGCATCAGACAACCGAAGTCAAGGCTGTTCATTGGAAATATCTGAATCTCCTCTTAACAAAGTTGTGGGACATGATCAAATTTCTGAAATAAATAACATTAATCAAGAACTGGGTACAGAAAATATTATTCCGGAAAATAATTCTGATTCGCCAATTGATGGAAACCAGAGAGACAAAATTAGCTCCATTGATGGAAACCAATCAACTCCGGAGGAATCGTCAGCAGACTTGCCTTGTTTAGAAGCAGTTCCTTCTTCCGACAATGCTTGTTCTTTGCGGCAAAATTCAGTATGTTTGCTTTTGTGTTGCATGTTTATATGATGCATGTGTTGGATCATTCTGTTGTCTGTTTAGGTTCTAAATCTGGATACAAGTAGTATAAGGCTTTCTGGGGGCAAGTTAAAACGTCTCAAATAGTGAATATGTGTTCCGTTTAGATCATCTTTGACAGATCAATTTCCATGCGACCTTAGAGTTTGATTTCAATCCATAAAACAGTGAAGTAAATTAGTGTTATCAGGTGCAGACGTGCTGTGCAATTCTGTCTCAAAAATTTACATGTTGTGACAGCATATGCATTTCGTTTGTAAGTTATGGATATAGTCAGATTGATTTGTGACACTTCTACTTGATCAGGTACATTTGGATGAATGTTCCAGGTCTTCAGGAGATAATGGAACACATGATAACAATGTGCTACTTAGTGAAAACCAGATTGGAATACAAACTGAACTTGTTTCTGGACGGACTATAAACAACACTTCTGAAGCAATGTTAGCTGACAGTTGTGAGCAACATCGTACAGTAGGTGATGGCATTCCCGTTGCTACTCCCATTGCCACTCACCATACTCACAGAGAGAGTGCATCTCAAACCCATGTTGAAAGAAACTTTATTCCAATCCCTGGATCCTCCCCCCATGCAGCAGAACCTTTACATCAAGCTGTTTCTCCAGCTGGAAAAAATCTGGTGCCTCGTGCATCTGTTGTCTCAGACATAAGTGTTACCTGCAATCAATCAATCTTACCAGCAGTCAGCAGAGTGCATCCTCAATCTATTACTGATCTTCGTGCATCTTCTCAGAATACTGAAACGGCGTTTCAAGTGGCTCAGAGTTCCGCTGAGCTTCCTAGTCAAGCAGTCTCTCAACATAACGTTAATGTTGCCTTTTTTCAAGGATCTAGCAATATGCCAGTGCATCCTGCCCATCAGATGGCCACTTTGAATTCAGCTCTTCCTTTCCATTCTGACCCCCTTCATATAATATGGGAAAGGGAACATAAAGAAAGAGAACAAGTGACAAAAGGCCACGAGGATATGGTTTGTGTCCAATATCTCCATAATTATATACTGGGGGACTCCATCCATCATTTATTTCATTTTGTTAAGCTGTTTTCCTCTCTTTGAACAGAAATTGCATCTGAGAGCTGAGTGCGAGAAGGAGATAGAGGTTGTTGCTGCACCAATTCGTAAGAAATATGATTTAAAGCTTCAGGAGGCTGAGGCAGCATATCTTTTGAAGAAGAATGAGCTTGATATGAATCAGAAAATAGTTCTCATGAATAAGGCTCTGGCTAATGCTTTCAGATTTAAATGCATAGATCTTGAAATTACTGCGCCTCCAGTTGTGCAGCAAGGTACTTATATATATTTTTTGTTTATGTGTTCCTAACCATTAGTTGATATTTCCTGTCGGAAAATTTGAACTTATATTGGTATCTGCATTAAATATGACGGGGGATTTGAATTCATTGTTTCTCGTGACCCCTAAACGTAACCATAATTTGTTTTGTTCCAGTTGTGCCTCCGGCTTATATGCAGCATCAGGTATGGCGGCAGCATAGTTTGAGGTCTTCTCCTATGACTGGTTCATCTTCTGCCAGCGAGCAAGCTTCAGCCCGAGCTTGTTTAAGATCTTCCCCAATCAGTGGTTTGTCTTCAGCTCGCCTACCTGTGGGGGGCCAGCAGACTTCTGTCCCATATTCACCAGTTGCTGATTATTCAATACATTCTGGGGGAACCTCTCGGCCTACATTAAGATCTCCACCTGCAGCTGATCAGCAGAGTGCTGCTTTTAGTCATTCAACAAGAGCTCCTACCGGAATTGTAAGCAGGCCGCCTCTCATTAGCATAATCAACCCTTCCAGGGGTAATCCTCGATTAGGTGGCGAGATTCGTGCTCCAGCCCCTCATCTTCAGCCTTTCAGGGTACCTACATCAACCCTTGTTAGCAGCTCATCGATCCTTCCAAATGGTGTGCAAGGTCATCCACGACCTGTTAAGGTGGCTGCATCATCTTCTTCACATCCACAACTTTCATCTCTACGATCAACATCACTCCCGTTGCAAGTTTTGCAAGATGAAATACAGCCACCCATAGTGCCACAATTAGCTGTAGATCTTTCTAATTCTGGGAGTACATCATTGGACCATGGACTTGGAGGAATGCCTGCTATACAGAATGCATATCTCTCTGCACGGGAATTGCTTCTAGACATGGAGAATCGATCTCGTGCAAACAGACCTAATTTTATGCTACCTTTATCAGATAGCTGTAACATTGATTCAGTAGACCTATCTGACTTTCATTCACTGGGCAGTGTACAGGGAGGTTCTTCCTCTGCAGGGGAAGCTACTAATGTAAGTTCAGCTGTTTGTCTGTCCGATGATGACTGAACTATTGATAATAAAGAGGATTTGTTTGTCTGTTTGTGGGTCAGCTCTTCTATCTGTATGTGTAAATACTTTCTTTTAGAAAATTGAAAAAGGCAGAATGGAAAAGAATGCTGTCAGAGGGCACTGACAGAGGTCTAAGCAAATTTAACCTTGGGAGAGGAAGCTTTGGGGAAATATATGGGTACGCACTTCCTTCTCCACCCTGCCCCCTCAACTTTGTTATTTTAGGGTCCCATGAGTAATGCAGCTGTATATGCTCCAATTTTCTGTCTGTAGTTGTTATTGCAATATATCTGTTCCTTGGTTTAGGTTTCTCATGAATGTTTGTTTGTCTAATAATACCATGTTTCTGAAGCTATGATTGTAGCGAGGCATGCTTAATTGATTCTACGTTGACACTACCAAAGCATGATTTTCATCTACTTTATAATCCTGGAGAATTGACTATTGAGCTGCTCAAGTGTAATGTGTCAGTGATCTGAACATTTCTGGACCTTATTTTTCACTTCAGAGAATTTGGCTTTTCATCCTAGGAATTAGTGGCATTAGCTTGAGCTTCAATTTTTTCCTTTTGAGAAATCTAGTATATGTAGATTCAAAGGATAAAGATAGATTGGAAAGAAGCAAGTAATACTAATTTTGCAACCAAGTTAAATTAACAAAGGAGTTGGGCCTTCAATGAGATCAAACCACAAACTTGAGTAAAGATTCAAATCCTTGCTAGAATTCCAATAAACAACCTAAATTATTAAGCTGAAAAGAAGGAGATTACAACTAAACATACCTTAAAAGAGGAAGTAAGAGTTTACTAGTAGAACCAGATACCCTACACCTCTCAAGGGTTTCAATCTTCAATCTTATAAACTTAGAAAAGTACATGAAAATTAATATTTATATGGTCTTGTGAAAATAGGCCTAAGACCCAAAATAGAAATCTAGTTGGCTAAAAATAGAAAGAGACTAAAAAATGTGAAGTATATTGAACACAATGTGCCGCTAAATTATTGGTTGCAGAACCTACATTTAGATACTTCTCTTCCGGATCCATGATTGCATAATGCAGACACCCTTTTGCTCACATTTTCAGACTCTTTCATCCATTGTTTGTGAATCGGAGATTTATGTTTACCTGAGGAGAAAGAAAATCTCACTGGTAAGAGGAAATGATAAACTAAGAAATCTTTTCAGTTATCGCAGTTGGGCAATCACATGGAGGATAAGTATTTGGTGGTCTGATGTAAATCGTTTGTCATGTACACTCTTTGATCTCATCTATCAAAAGAAAATGCACACCTTTTGATCTTCAGTTCACTAAAAGACGAAAAAGGGTCTGTAACCATACTCTTTATCCCCTTCCCCCTCTTCCTTTTAGTCTTTTTCTTCTTTTTTCCCTATATATATTATTCGTGATGATAAGAGGCATTCTAGTGAAAGGTAGCTCTATCAGCAGCTCAAATTAAGTGACTAGCTTCCTGAAGGGTGTTGTTCTGTCGTGTGTAGCGGGTGCCAGTGAGAAAAAGCCAGAAGCTGGGGAGAAGCCAGAAGATAACGGACAAGATTGCAGTGCTGCAAAAGCTAGTTTCTCCAACTGGCAAGGTAATTAACTGCCAGAAGCAGCATGCCACATTTTCCCCTTTTCAGTGACTTACCAGCTTCACTCTTTCTCTAATTACATATCCAATACTCAAAAAGACATGACTCGTATTGCAGGCTGACGCAGCTTCTGTCCTCCATGAGGCTTACAACTCTATCAAGGCTCTTCAAGATCAGATTCAGGTTCTAACCAGTTTCAGTGCATTGAAGTAAAAGAAGAAGCGCGTTTTTTTTTCTTTCCGTTTAGACTTGCATTGTGCATGATTTACTCATTTGTCTGCAGAACTTGTGTAATATGGAAAGCACTTCTCACAACCACAGTGATTCCCTTTTTCACGCACAGGTAAAATATGCTTAATCGTTCAATCTAATGCATAAATTATTGTTATCTCCTTGAGTTATTTATGAATGAAGTAAACAGAATAGCAGGGGGGAACAAATTGATGTACAAAGCAAAGGTATTTGTTTGGTTCCACTTCCAGTGTCACTTATGCAGAAACTAACAGACGAAGACGTCTTCAGCGAAAACATGCAGTCATGAATGATATTGTACAGTGAGAAGTAAGAAAAGCTGTTTATAGTTTTGTTAATGAAGTAATCAACTAATCATCTTAGTTTCAATAGAGGAAATAACCCATTTTCTTTTTGTTTTTTCCTCTCTCGTAATACTTGAGGAAATGATATCATGATGCTGCCTTGTGATATTCTTTCCTCAATTTTACTAACTTTATAGGCCAACTTTCGCGCTTGGTATGATGGCAGTCATTGTTTTGGAGTATGTTTTCACGAAAAAGTTATTTTATGGTTTGATTATGAGGAAATGTTTTTCATCAAAAGGGGAAAGTGGCTTCCCTCACTTATGGATGGAAGTTGTTTCCTTGCAGGACTTTTAGCTTCATATTATTATCCTCAACTAACACTTAAAACATATTATCAATCGTTATTATAGAAAAAGAGGGCAGCCCGGTGCACTAAGCTCCTGCTATGCACGGGGTCATGGGAAGGATCGGATCACAAGGGTCATCCTTACCATGCATTTTTGTAAGAGGTTGTTTTCACGGTTCAAACCCGTGACCAAAGGGTTACGGTGACAGCAACTTTATCAGTTACGCCAAGGCTTTTCCAATCGTTATTATACAAAATTCATCAAAATACTCAGACTCTTAGACAAATTATCAATCGTTAATATACAAAAGGAGGGCGTCCCGGTGCATTAAGCACCCGCTATGTGCGGGGTCGGTGGAAGGTCGGACCACATCCTTAACCTGTATTTCTGTAAGAGGTGGCAACAACTTTACCTGAAGGCTCCCCTTCCAATCGTTAATATACAAAATTCATCAAAATATTCATTCAACTTGTTACTATTATTAGGAAATTATTTTTCATTCACCGATCAAGCATTAGAAAACATGTCTAGAAAACATTTTAATTGAAAATTTTCATAGAAATGAGTTCCTTCGTGCCAAACACAGTTTATTCTAAACATATCTGTGTGACTTGTTATTTTTTCTATGTAACTATTAAACACTTAATCTAATATACACCCCACCTCTATGTATGGGCCAAAATCCACATTGTCGAAATAAGTAAAAATGGCGTGTAGTAGCCACTAATTAAGGGTGTCTTTAATTTTTATCCACTAATTACAATGCTCAGCAAAAATAGCAACTACTAATAGGGAAAAGACACATTTACCCTTTCTTCAATGCGCTTATAATGCCAAAATGCCCAAAAATCCTTTTTTTTCATTCAGTCGAGGGAAAAGAATTTGAGAGGGGTTTCAGGGCAAGTTGCGTATTCTTTGCTTCTTCATCATCCTCTCGCATGCAAAGGATCTTCAGTTAATCTTCCTGCTCCTTCATCTTCTCCGCCATCTTCTTTGAATCGTTCGCGACTGGTAATGTGTGTTTTTTTTAATGCATTTTTGTATTTCTAAATGTGTAATCGGGTTCAATGCCGTGTGAAGTATGTTTGAAATTGCAAAAAATGATCATTATATGTTGATTCAGTGTCGGAGATGTAGTGTGATTGTGTTATTCAGAAATTTTTAGGGTTGAAATGTGAAATCTGTTTGTGGTTGATTCAATATATTTGATTATGTAGGTATATTTCATAAAAATAGTCGTAGAAATTCCTAAGCTTACTGTGTTTATGAATTTTTAGTTAACTGTGTTCCTGAAATATAAGAAAGAAACGACATTAAATTTTGAAGTTGGAACTCAAAGTTAAGGACTGATTGTCCTTAACTTTTGCACATGAAACTTGAAGTTAAGGACCAAATGTCCTTAACTTTTGAACTACAAATTTGAAGTTTAGGACCTATTGTCCTTAACTTTTGAACTTTAAACTTTAAGTTAAGGACTGCTTGTCCTTAACTTTTGTATGTGACACTTGAAGTTAAGGACCAAGTCCCTGCAACTAATTGTAAGTCCTAATCTTTATTTTCTTTTTCCTTCTTTTGTAGTGTGATAATGGAAGGAGATCGTGTGTTCGAGTTTGATGATTGGCGTAATTTTATGGTGTATTGGAAAGGAGATTTACAATATAAGGAAACAATTAAAGGTTTTTTGTCTAATAGCAGTGGAAGAAATTGAGGGATGGTATTTTTGGCAACTTCTTCCGATTACAAAGTGTGAAGTTCTCTGGTAAACTTATTCACTGTATATTGCTTTCAGAAATTGTATATAATGAACCCGATTCAATGACATCAAGGTATTTGATCGTGAAATTAAATTTACCCGCGAAGCATTTCACATAATTACTGGTTTGAAGTCTTATTCGTCGCTCGACATCAAAGGTTTACATGAGAAAGAGAATAGGCTTTAGAGTCTATTTCCTTGGAAAGGATAGAATTGAGTTGGGTGATTTGTTTAGTTTTATTTCTAGTCACCCACATGGTACAACTTCATCATTTGTTGGCAGCGATGATGATGCTTTGAAGTTGGCAACAATCTATTTTGTTGAATCTGTTTTGATGGGCAAGCGGAAGAATAGGAATGTGTCCGATCAGATAATGAAAATTGTCGACGATGATGCACTCTGCTCTTCCTTCAACTGGGGCTCTCTTTCTTATGAGACACTATTAAATCATTGAAGAGTTGTTTGAAGCCAAATGAGAATGAGATTGAGAAGGAGAAAGACAAAGATAAAGAGAAGGATAGCTACACTATAGTTGGCTTTCCTTTTGCCTTTTGTGTTTGGATTATGGAAGTACTTCCTATTTTCCAAGAAAAACAATTTGTGAACTTCAAAGAATCTGGTTATCCTCGGATGTTATGTTATTCTGAAATGAAGTCTCCACAGTTTGATGCTCTTTGTAGAAAATATTTTCATAATGAAAATGTAAGTTAATGTAGTCACTATCTATTTTTTTGTTTATTTGTTTTAGTTGTGAATACTTATGTTTACTTTTTCTTATATAATAGTTGTTTAAGTTGATCGAGGTGTCACCATTCATTCCTGTTGAAGAAGAAGATACAGAGCCTCTTAGTGTGGAGGATCCAATTTCACAAGATCAAAGCTCAAGGTCTTCTTCCACACAATTTGACGAAGCCATACTTAAGGAAATTGTTAGAGTATGTGTTTCTGCCTTTGAATAGTATTAGTTTTTTATTTATTTCTTCCTTACGAACACTTTTTTTTTATTTTATGTTTTTTTGATTCAGAGATTATCAGAGAGTTTTAAGAAGGATTTGCAAGCTGAAGTTACTAGAGTTTATCAGAAAATAGCTGTAGCAGAAAAAAAGATTTAGAATGAAATCATGGTATTTTTAGTTAGTCTAACTTTAGGACTTTGTGTCATTAAATTTTGAACTTGGAATTGAAAGTTAAGGACTGCTGTCCTTAACTTTTGAACTTGGAAATCAAACTTAAGGACTGCCTGTCCTTAACTTTTGAACTTGGAATTCAAACTTAAGGACTTCTTGTCCTTAATTTGTGAACTTGGAATTCAAAGTTAAGGACTGCCTGTCCTTAACTTTTGAACTTGGAAATGAAACTTAAGGACTTCTTGTCCTTATGTTTTGAACTTGGAATTCAAAGTTAAGGACTGCCTGTCCTTAACTTTTCAACCTGTAAATCAAACTTAAGGACTGTCTGTCCTTAAATTTTGAACATGTCCTTAACTTTCTAACTTAGATTCTTTCTCAGGATTTAAAGAAAACTCTAGGATCAAAGCTTGATACTTTGTTGAACATTTTTGGGAAAGCTGATCAAATGAACACAGATAGAGAATCTAGTGTTCCAATTAGAAAAGATGGAGTTGATGATCATTGTCGTGCTACAGAGCCTATTGTTACAATCAACGAAGATGCAGGCGGTGATGAACGTGATGATATGGATGTGGATGCAGAAGTGCAGTATGAAAGCGATTTTAGAGATGCACATCTAGATGATGAAACTGAGAACGTTGCTGATATTGGGAAAGGTTAGATATAGATTTTGATTTTTTTTTGAAATTTATATTGAATAGAGAAATACATATAAACTTTTTTGTGATTACAAATATTTGTAGAATCTATTGATGGAGTGGAAGTTGAAGATGTAGATGAATTTCAAGACCGGGAAAATCCANTTCAGCTTATTTAGTGCTGAAGTTTTTGCAAATGAACTAAATAACTTCAGCATCTTCTGCTGAAGTTTTTGAAAAAGACTTAATGACAAAATAATGAATCCAGGACAAAAAAATTCAGCTTATTTAGTGCAATTACAAACAAAAACTTCAGCAAATAGAGAACAAAACTTCAGCTACTATGCTTAAGTTCAGCAATTACAAACAAAAACTTCATCAAATAGAGAACAAAACTTCAGCTACTATGCTTAAGTTCAGCAATTACAAACAAAAACTTTAGCACACTTGCTACTTCACGCCCGTCTACTAGAATGCTGAAGTTTTGCGTGATTGCCTTTGCTACTTCAGCCCCGTATGCTGAAGGTACGCGAAAAAGTGGGTACGCTTGCAATTTTTTTTGCAAAGCGGGCACAAGTTAAAACGTGACCCAAAAAGTGGGTATAGATGCAAATCCCCCCATTAATAGCATGTTTGGCCAAGCTTCTAAAATTTGCTTATTTTGAGAAGTGTTTTTTTCAAAAGTGCTTTTAAAAAAAAAGTACTTTGGGTGAGAATTGATTTGTGTTTGGTTAATTAATTTGAAAAATATTTTTGAGCAGTAATTAGTGTTTGGCCAAACTTTTGAAAACTGCTTCTAAATGTATTTTTTCCAAAAGTGCTTCTCAGAAAAGTGCTTTTAGAGAGAAGCTACATTTTTCTGCTTCTTTAAAACTGATTCTGCTTCTCCTCAAAAGCACTTTTTTTCCTTCTAAAAGCTTGGCCAAACACCTCAATTTTTTGGCACAAAAAAAAGTTTGGCCAAACAAGCTATAAATATGTTTTAGGAAAAAGTAGATGACTAAAATATCATTTATTCTTTTTTAAATCTCTTATTTAATGCTTACTAATTACTATTATTTCACGGATACCCATTTATGAGGCTATACTATTATTGTTGTTGTAAATTAAAAAAGAAAATAGAGTAATAAATGCATCTTCTTTATCATAATATTAAATATTTAAAAACAAATTCATATTTTGCCAAACCAACTTATAGGTGAGACTAGATAGAACACTAGAACTCTTTAATCAATGTTGAAAATCAAAGCATGTATTTTTAGTTATTTTTACTATTCTAAAAATTGTTGGGTTTTTCTTCTCTTTCTTCTGCATACTTTTAGCATCAAACAAAGCAAAAAGTAAGTGTGATTTGCTACCGAACTTTGTGTTCGCTGAAACACTGGGGTTTGAAGTACCACTACAC